CTCTGTAGTTTGAATATATGATGTCCTGTGTCACAGTGATGTTTCAGTGACTAACATTCCCTACTGGACAATGGTCCCATACTGTTACAATGAACCTAAAGATTCATTTAATTTATTGTGGTTATTGCTCATTTTCCATATTTAGATATGCTGACATACATGAGTGCCATTTATCTTATCTAACAGTTGCCTACAGTATTCAGCAAAGGACTGTGCTGCATAGGTTGTAGCCTAGAAGCCACACTATCAGCCATGTAACATGGGTGTACAGTAAGTAACACTATCTTAAGGCTCTCTGTGATGTCTGCACACACTCTGTGATGTCTATGGAGCTATCAAATGCTGTCTTTCTCAAAATGTATTGCCATCAAGGGACACATGACTGTGCTATTTACATGTGAATTTAAATATATTAATATGTAAACATTCATTTGAATGTCTTGATGAAATAATCTCTGGTAAAAATCACAACAGTTAGATAAATAGGAGAACAGGAGCAAAGGAAAACAGTTTTACACATGTCCTTGGTGACAGTATGAGCAGGAGAATGAACCCACCCCTCAGTTCCTAGTTCTCAGTAGATAGAAAACATTTAAAACATTAAAATATGTAACTAAAAAGACTAGCGTTCATATATATATATATATATATATATATATATATATATATATATCTTAAGAGAAAAAGGCCACTGGCTTTTTAATGTCTGTCTTTGGGAGTTTATGAATGGAGAAGAACAGAAAAGAGACTGTCAGCTTGTTCAGTTTGCTTGACTAAACCTTGGGGCTTATCTGATTCTTTAAACCATGTTCATGGATCACTTCAATGAAAATAGAAGTAAACTTTAGGAAGAGTAGAGGAACTCTGATGTCCCTCTCCTGACCACCCATGGTGAGTTACCTAGAGTTCGCTTCCTAACCTGACTTCCCTCTCCTGACCACCCATGGTAAGGTGAGTTACCTAGAGTTCGCTTCCTAACCTGACTTCCCTCTCCTGACCACCCGTGGTAAGGTGAGTTAGCCAGAGGTGACTCCCACAAGCCCCTCTCCTGCAGGTTCTTGGCTGCTGAGTCTGAAGATGGCGATAGATGAGTCAGACTCCTCCAGCAAGCTGACCATTATTTAAAAAGGGAGACTGTACTGTGGGGGGGGGGGGAGGGGGTTGCAGAGGAACAGGAAGGAAGCAGAAATTACCCATCAGGCTTCACAGAAAGGCTGATGCCAACAGCTGTGGGGTGGGGAGGGAATCGCTCAAAGGGCTTAGTGGCAGATGTTCCAAACCGTTGCCAACCTTATGTGTGTACTTCTTCTGGAAGGACTTTTGTGCTCCGTCTTATCTGTTAGCAGTGTGTGGTAAGTGTTTGCACAGAACCCTAGCACCAGGGCGGTCACCTGGCTCAGCACTGCCCGAATATCGAGGAACGTGAAGAAAAGGTACTGGAAGGTCAGCACCTTGTGACTCACTGCAATCCCGCCTCCAGGGCTTTGTCTGAAGTAGGACAGTGACAAAGAGCCCTGGGGCCTCCAGGGTTCGCTCTAGACAGTAGAAAATAATGCATTATTATTTTCATCACCATCTTCTGCTTCTACCAGCAGCTGTTGAAGAAAAGAGACCATCGATGGGTGTCATTAAATAATTTTTATAATGTCCCAGTCTTTCTAAAAGTGAGTGTAGCCAGATCTAATGCACAGTCTGGATACTAGCTCCTTGGAGGGTTAAGCGGGGAGATAGCAAAATCAAAGCTTGCCCGGGCAGGCATGTGTCTCATTGGCAGATTGCAATCTTAGCATACTCCAGTCTCAGTGCTATATTTCCAGCACTGATAAATCAATGGAATACACACACACACACACACACACACACACACACACACACACACACACACACACACACACACATTTAGGAAGAATCTTGGTTTAGCCCAGAAAGAAAAGCTTCAAACCATGACCTAAGAAGGCAATACAAAACAAGGAGAAATAGTTTTCTGTAAACACACTAACTTGCATTTTAACCACATTCCATTTCTCTATTTTGCAAACCAAAATGACTGCATCTCCTTGGACGAGTCCTTGGGATTAGAGGAGAGGAGAAGGAGGAGAAGAGGGCTACTATAGGGAAGGACCACATCCCAGTGAATAACACTAGGATGGTACATGCTAAGGCTGTAAAATGACCTGTGCTTGGGGTTGGAAGAGGAAATTTAGGAAGAGTAATAGCTGGCACTGTGCTCACTCAACGGGTATGTTGGGATATATGTCCCTCTGATATTTTTTAAATAAGGCATTAAAAACATTCTCATAAGAGCAGACATCTGAAAATGGAACAAAGATGCAAAGTAAAAGGTGGTGGGAGGCCAGGGCTGTGATCAGGGCATGCACTGATCTTTAAAGGTCATCAGAAACACAAGGTATTGCACCTCCCTTGGGTACTCATGATGAGGGTTTGAGTTTGTGTGTGCATTTGTTAAAGAAAGGATGAGCTGGCAGGAGTCAGAGAAAGCACAAACCATCAAAAGGACTCTGCCTCTTAACCATCAAGGAAGTCGGAAGTGTTTGTTATCTCTCAGCCATGGACTTCCCTCTTTGCTCCTGATTTACAGATAATGTCACATAGTCATTTCTCAGACAGTACAGCCATAGGAGACAGTCCAGCTGTGCCCTGCCAAACCATGGGCTCTCCCCCAGAAAATGCCTGCAGGAATGTCCAGCAGCTTGATGTTGAAAAGTGTGGCTCAGAAGGGGATTCTATTTTATTTAAAGTAAGCACACTATGTGATCTTAGTGACAGAAAAAAGATTGAGTTGTTAGTAATTCTGAAAAGTGTTTGACAGTCAATGAGAAGCCTGAGAAACCCACAGAGCAGGAAGGAAACTGGAGGACGAGGGGAAATATCGTGCTCTTCCTGCCCCAAGGACGGACTCAACCCAGAAAGCAGCCAGTTAAGTAGGGTCATGATGTGAGTGTAAGGAAAGTCACATACATGTGACCCGGCAGGTTTCCCATGGGGGAAGGTCTTAGGGGAACATAGGAATAAGAGCATAGGTATTGTAGACAAGTGTGTCTTCTGCCGCCTGGGCCCATGGTGTAGATAAGAACCTGGGTGTTTGGTATCAGCACTGTTTCTCTTGTGGATACACAGGTCTCCTGCCCCAAAGGGACTTCCATTAGAGCTGGGGCAGTGAGCCTTAGCTGGGCAAGGCATGTGGGAGTGAGACTAATGGACCTTTGGGTCCATCAGAAGAACCACACTGGATTCCCCCTAGCATTATTCATTATACTTAATAACAAGGATGCCAAGACCATCTCTTCCAAAGGAGCTTCTGCAGGCTTAAGTGAGTGACTACACATGCTTTGAAGAATGGCTGGCCCAAGTAAGGCTTCCTTGTGCTGTAGGTATTAAGATTGTGTTGATGGATATTGCCAACATTATCTAATACAACTATTGTAATATACGCCAGACTTGGTAAATAGTTGTTTATCTAAACACCACCATCTGTGAAGGAAAAGAGGGAACACCAGAAAAGAAAAAATAATGTTGCTTGATAAATAGAAGGTTTGGGATTTGGGGTCAGGCCTAAATTTCAGAACTGGGACGAACTATCAAACTTCAGAGTTGGATGGAAGTATCAAAGTCCTCCTTATACACACACACACACACACACACACACACACACACACACACACACAAACACACACACACGCATGCACGCATGCACACACACACACACACACACACACACACCCTAGGGCCCACTGACAAGTGGTAGACCTTACATGAATTCCTTCTCAAATTTTTACCTCCACTCTGCCCCCTAGTGAAGTCTACAGAGCAGCAAGGACTGGCAACCTCCTGGAACCTTCCAAAGTAATAAAGAAGGATTCATGCTCTTGGGGGGAGTGGCTACATGGCTGGTGACTTGGCACACCCAATGAGGGTGGCATCTCAGATCTGGTTTGTCCTCAAACCTGGCTCTAGCCAGCACAGGATTCTTTCTAGTCAACCTGCAAGGCAAGGCTTCATTCCTCATTCTGCTCCATGTCAAACCTCTTTCCTGGTTACAGCTCACTAGGGAAGGACCAGGGAAACCATGGGGTCTCTTGGAGCAGTGGCCAGTGAAGCTTGCAGCCAATGGACACAAAATTATGACGTGACACACTGACCAAGAACCACAATAAATACTTTGTATTTTTGACCCAACACACACACACACACACACACACACACACACACACACACACACACATTAAGTCACACATACTAACATGACAAGACATGTACAAAAAGACCAAAAAAATTTTCAGAGTAATGTTTATTTTATTAGTTTTAATTCATCAGGCTCTCAGCCTTTATTGATGTCATAGACCCTAGTGTGTGAACCATTTGAAAGATTGTGGAAGTCAAACTCCCATGCCATCTGTGAGATTGAAGTATTCTTTCTTTGCTGGAAAGGTGCAGGAATTGTGAGAGTGACAGGAAGCGCAGACATCCCCTTCCTGGTGTTTCCACAGGGAACGGAGCCCCTGGAATGTGGGAAGGATAGCACACCGCGGCTGAGGGCCCCAGACACATACACAATAGTTTAAATGATGGAGAGCAGTTTCTGGATCCCAAAATGACTGCATGGATTCCTGGGCCTTGTTTTGTTTCTTGTTCTTTTTTAAATAGGGTCTAGCTCACTGTGTAGCCCAGGCTGCCCTGGAATAAAGCACTCCTTTACATTAGAGAAATGTGGTCATTTTACTGAGTCTAAAATACTGCTCTGTTGTGCTTTTTAATTTGAGGAGGAGGAGATTTTACTGTTATCATCCTATTTGGCTGGGTCCTTACACACTATTATTGATTAGCATTATTGCTGAATCCTCCTTGTCCCCATGCCAAGCAGCTGTCCCTCTGCCCCTACCTTCCAGGAAGGGCACACAAAGTGCAAGGTCAGCCCCGCAGATTAATTTGCCTCTGCAGGAGCTCCCTACAGACACTCCAGCTGGACTGAGTAACCAGCCATGTCTCTGCTGACAGCTGTGCTGCTGCTCTGGGGTAAGATCTCCTGGGGCCTAAAACCTCTGGGCAGGTGTGGTGTGAATGGGGACTCACAGACTCTGTCCCTACAGGCTTCACTCTGCCCCCAGCAACTGCTGAGTTCGGTAAGTTCAGTGATAGGGCCTAGAAAGTGTAGGTTACTGTTGGTGGGAAAGCCCTTTGCTAAGAGCAGCAAGCTAACACTGGCTCTTTTCCACTCCAGATAGTAACAGCGAAGCTATCCTATGGGCAGACCCTCAGTCCCTGCTGGAACCCTGGGCAAACCTGACACTGACCTGTAAAGCTAGTTTCCCTACCAAGGACTTCCAGCTAATCATGAATGGATGGCGCGTGCACCACGTCCACCTTGATGACTTTGTCACGTCGCACCAGTTCCCACTGGGCGCCATTACAAGTAACAACACTGGCCTCTACCGCTGCCGAATAGGCTTAGAGCCCCTAACTAATCAACCCACTGAGGAGAGGTGGACGGAGCTAAGCAATCTTGTAGAGGTGACAGGAACAGGTAAGCAGGGCCATATTGGGGTCAGGAGGCCGTGGATAGAGGGACATAGATGGAGGAGCTCCCATTCACGCCAACTGGTACCTCTTAGCCTGGGTTTGTTCATCTGTCAAGTGGGAATGTTTACGCGGTCCCCAGAGGCTTAATGAGTGATGGGAACGGGCATGACACTGAGTAGTATTCTGCACCCTGCACCTGCTCTCTTTCTCTTACCCCCACTCCCACTACCCCCGCCCTCCTGCTGCTCCTGAGTCCCTGTTTGGGGTCCAAACTCTCAGTTTATCCAGAGGGAGAGCTGAAGCACTCACAAACCCTGCCTTCGCCGTCCACAGAACCCTTGCCCCGACCCTCGCTTTCTGCTTATCCGGTGCCCTGGATCGTTGTACCTTACTTGGGCACATACGTGCGGTGTCACTCTGCACTGCGGGGTGTAACTTTGCAGCTGAGGATGGAAGGACATGAATTGCGGAAGGAGACCAAAGCCCAAGATAAGGAACAAGCCTGGTTTATAGTCTACAAAGCCGGCAACTACAGCTGCAGCTACAGAACTCACGCAGAAGGCAACTTCTCTGAGCCCAGCGCTACTTTGACCATCAAGAGTTACAGTGAGTGTTGATCCCCAACAATGAAAAGCCAGCGTAGAACTGGGTGTATGGTATCCAGAGATATGCCAGTGTCCCTGAGCCGTCACTGGAGGACGGATATTTGGGCCTGCACAAAGGGCAGTTCTTAGTGGGACCTTACAAAGCAGATGTTCTGGACTCCGGCCTCAGTGTTCTTCCCTGCCTTGCAGACACGCCACCTCCGCCCATTCTGTATTATTTTGGAAATTACCCCAAAATCAAGTTCAAGAGCAGATATGAGACCCTTACCTGCAGAGCTCCTCTGGATGTACTAGAATTCCAACTCAGACGGGGTGAGAAGGTGCTAAACGTTAGTAGCTTCAGTCCCATCCAAGAAGCTGCCATCTTCTTCCTGAACTTGACGGAACTGGAGGACCCAGGCCCTTTTACCTGCCGCTACCTTCTCCACAGAGAGTTGGAGTTGGAGTTGGAGATTTGGTCTGAAGACAGTAAGCCCATAGAGCTGATGTGGAGTGATGGTGAGTTTCACAGTGGGGCCGCAGACGAGAGTAGGCTGTGATGTCGAAGATGGTGATCAGAAGGGAGCAGGATGGGGACCCCAAAGCAGAACCTCCAAATCTTAGCCATGATTTCCCAAGCTTTCAATAGGACAATTTTTACAGCAACTTTGAGCCCAGTAATGAATTGGGTCACCCAAAAAGTCTGGCCTAGAATTTAATGGGCCTCCACAAGTCAGGGTATCCTAGCAGGAATGAGGTGGGCTTGCTACCTGCTGAGAGCTCCGCAAGGCTGGGATGTTGACCAGCAGCAGAGATTTAAGGAGTATTGTCTCTGGTATCCTACAGAAGCAGACAGGAGAGGGGCAAGGAGGTCCCTTTAAGCAGAAGGCTGAGTCAGAGCATAGGCTGAACCATGCATAGGGCTCTTGACACACCTTAAGGCTGGACCCATGTGTCTGATCCTCTTCAGGGACACTACCAGCACCGGTGCTCACTGTAGAGCCCTCAAGTAAGAATATTGAGCCTGGCTCCACCGTGCATCTGAGATGTACTGCTCCCAAAGCCGGCCTCCGTTTTGGCCTACAACGAGAGGGTAACAGGGAGAATTCCCTGATCCAGATGCTGAAACCGGCTGGAAGTGAAGCTGTCTTTGTGCTGCACAACGTTTCAACGATAGACTCTGGCAACTACAGTTGTGCCTACATGGAACAGGCAGCGCCTTTCTCAGGATCTCCGCCCAGTGAGACCTTGGAGTTGCATGTGAATGGTAAGCTGAATGTAACCATACGTGTGGAAGGTGCAATGTGTTACTAACTTAGGGACCAGAGTTCCTGGGCTGTGCTATTGTGAAGGGACATCCTTCCTGGGCTGTGCCTTAATGACATGTTAGACTTTGAGAACCTTGAGATTGACTCCCCAAGGTGAGGCAGGGAACCCGGTTTGTTCTTTATGCTCTAAGGTAGAAAACATCTCATAGAATCATGTCCAACGGTGTTAGGATACAAGTTTTTCATGTTCAAATGCACCCTCCCGTGCCTCAGTTTCCCTGTGATGCATGTATGCCAAGTCCACTCATACCATTGCCTGCCTTGAGTTAATGTGTAATTTTACAGACAGTAGAGTCCCTGGGCTGTATTGGCCCGTTCATTTCCTCATTAAGGTCTCAGTGGGTCAGGGTTCACCCACAAAGGACCTCTCACAGATTTCGAACCTACTCAGGTTCTGACCTCAGATCTTTGGACTGTGCTTGTGCTACCAGCACTTTTCTGAAAGGTCTCTCTCCCACTTCGACTCTTTGGCCATCCCATGACGTCCTGGGACAGACCAGGACCTGATAGATCTCATAGACATCATGATTTGGAGATAAGGACATAGAGATGACATGTAGATTCTATAACACCGGTGCTTATGGCACAGGGCAGGAGAGGGAACTGCCTGGCTCAAAGTGGAGAGCGCAAAGGACGTAGACAAAGTAGACCCTCCACAGGCCCTGGCGGAAGGTGCTACAACCTCATTGCTATCCCCCTTCACAGGGCCACCACCCCGGCCAAAGCTCGAAGCTCTATGGACAGGCAAAGTGCCTGTGGGCCGGGATGCCAACTTTCGCTGCCATGGCCATGTGCCACAGATTGACATGGAGCTGGTGCGTGAGGGTGATCGCTTACCCACCTTGATTGGCTATGCGAGGAGAAGTACCTCAGCTGACCTGAAGCTGGCCTTCGTGGGTCCCCAACATACAGGCAACTACACCTGCCGCTATATGGCTGCACCACCCTTGGAATTTGAGTCAGGGATCAGCGACCCTGTGGAGGTTATAGTGGAAGGTAAGGCTTCCAGGGCTGTGTTTGGGTTTTGCCTCTTGATATTTCCAGGGCTGTCCACTGCTTAACTGATCATTCGAGCAGAGTGGGCCGAGGCCCTGTGGCAATGTGCGGGGTCAGAGCACTCACTTTTTCATCTAGGTGTCTGACGCGGCTGCAGATGCGAGAAAATACGATGTCCTTGCAAAGGGTTGGAGACAGGCAGAACCCCCATTCTTCAAGCCAGAAGATGTCTCTCCTTCAATCTCCCTGGACTGAATAAATGTCAAACAAGAGTTTGTTTAAAGCCTGCCTTCCATCTGTGTGTCCACGGTAACTACAGTAGGCAGGTTGAGGAGGGGGCTGTTCTTCCAGGCCTTAGTCCCTGTGTCCTTAAAGAGGGTCGGCTAAGGGTTGGATCCTAAGGACCTAAGGGTGAAGGCCTTGTCCTACTATGCCTTTTCTCAAAATCCCTTTCTTCTGTCCTCCTCACTGTGTGTCTCTTAGCCCCGGGCACTTCTGCCCCCTTCCAGCAGGTGTGTGCAGGCAGCATGGACCTCTGTTGTAGCTTGGAAGGGTCTGTCCCTACCCTAGCAGAAGGTTAGAAAATGCTACATTAAAGAGTGCTGGTTGTGTTTTTATGTTTTACAAATACACTCTGATGGGTGTCATCAGAGTGTGTCCGAATCGATGCTTTATCTGAAGTGACTCAACTAGAACAAACCAAAACAACAAACATCTGCAGAGCTGAGCCGATATCTTGTCCCCTTCAAGCCTCAGCGGAGCCTGAGGCTGGAGCCTGAAATGCTGATCCCTGGAGAAGAACTGACTTGCATCCCTGCAATCCCCTGGTGCTTCTGGCCCCCACCATACCTCATGATTGCTCCATCCTCCCTGTGACCACTGTCGCTTCTGTACATTTGTTCAGAGGGCCCTTCCTTCTCCCTTCCCCTCACATGAGCTAAAATACCGACCCACGCTTGAAGGCTGCAGCATCATTTCATTCATTTTATTTTTCCATCAAGTCCTAATTGAAAGCTGGGCAGCACAATGCAGAGGCCACTTTTGGTTGTGGAAATCCCAAAGATGGAGAATGCATGGGCCCTATTCTTTAGAAATGCAGCCTAAGGCTGGACAAATGGTTTAGAGAGAAAAGCTCTTACTGCACAAGACCAGCACAGTTGATACCCAGAGTCCACAGTAAAACAAATAAATGAGAAGGATATGATGGCATGCATCTGTAATCCCAGTGTTCCTACAGTGAGATGGGGGACACAGGACAATAGAGCACCACCAGGCTTGGGGGACAGAGTGATCTGAAGGGAGAGAGAGGGAACAGACTCCCCAAAGTCGTCTTCTGATTTTCATGGACACAATCACGTACACACTTATGCATGTTTCACACACACACACACACATACCTGTGGTTTAGTTACATAACCCACACTCACATATACACGTCTAATGATGATAAATAGTTTAGTTATGTGCAGGAAGATGCGCTCATAGCAAGGGACACAGATCAAGTGAGTTCACGGTGCTGCGCGTGGACCTCCATCTTGAACTCCTTGAGAACATAGAAAGAGGTCACATAGGCTCCTTGGAGGTGTTGGTCTCTGATATAGCTGAGGATGTGAGGGAGAAGACAGGGATTCTAGGAGACAGCAACCATTTCACCTAATATCATTTCCCACTTAGAGATGAGTAAACACTAAATGAGTGTCCCAAAATGCTAAGTCAACAGAGCAGAGCTATTTCTGATCCTAACACATACCAGGCTGAGGCATGTCTCTCAATCATTAACTCAGCCTGGCTTTAACTTGCCCTGGGAATCCCAGGGACGACCTTCCCTTTTTCGTCTTGACACAGATCTCACTACACATTCCAAGCTGGTTTTGGACTCTTGATCTTCCCAATCCGCCTGCCTCAGCATCCAAATCACTGGGATCACGGTCATGTGCCACTGTGCTCAGCCCTACTGTGAAGACATGACAACCAGAAGAAACAGAGAGGGACAGGTATGGGCTGTTAAACACAGGGCCACCCCTAAGCACAGAGAAGGTTTGTGGTGGAAGAGGATAGTGTCGGGCTGGGAGCACACCCTGATGGGATGGGCTTTACCTTACAGCAGGTACGATGTGTCCGTGGGGGCACGTGTGCAGGGAGAGCATCACTGGTTTGAAAGTGGAACAAACCTGAGATGATTTCTGAGTCTTCTGGCCAATAGCAGAGCATTCTTTGACAACATAATGTGGATCTTCATTTCCTTCCATACAATGGTGACAGCTTGATGTACATTATGGCACTGTGATAAAGGTCAAACTAACTAATACCAAATGAGAGACCACCAAATCCATTCCTGGAGACACCACATGGACTAGAGTCTCATGAACTTCTATGTCTTTCAGCTTCCTTGCTAAGGAGATGGGTCTAGCCCCATCCATCTCCTCTGTCACAGAGTGGGCAAGAGTATGAGATTTCCCCATAGGACAGGAGACATCCTGGCAACAGCCCTTCCAGGCAGTGGCTTAGGACAGATCCCTAGGGCACTGAGCAGAGCTTGTTAGAGACAAAACAGAAGGAATAGGGGCCATCCTCAGGAACGACTAAGGGAACAAGGAAACACCCATCCTCTGAAGGAAACAACAGCGAATTGCATCATTAATAATACTTAGCATAGTCCCAGTGCCTTCTCAAGGTAATTAATTCTGCTCCAAATCCTGGAAAATGAATGACTGAGTGTGTCAGAGAAGAGCTCTATTTCTGAATTAGAGATGTAGATAAGCATGTCCTCCACAATGTTTGGTGAAGAAAAAAAAAAAAAAAGAAAAGCTGTATCACTGCTTGCTAGAGCCAAGTTACCCTGGGAAAGAAGCCACTAAGCCCTGGTGGCTATTCATCCCTTTACCAAGTGTATCTTCAAATAAGTACAATTACCCAAGGAAATAACAACACAAGAAATCCCTCTTTGTCATTTTCATTCTAACAATGTGCCCCAAGAGACAGCACCAGGAAGTCATAGGGTTTGTTCAGCTGGTTTGATGGCTGAAATGGGTCTTATCCTGAAGCTTACCATCAAGCTCTTGTGCCATGACATGACCCCCGGTTAGCTGCTCAACTCCATTGCTGTTGACTTGGGGTGTTTTGTCAGCTAAAATCTTGGGATGCTAATAGAACATACCATTTCTTTTTCTACAAGGCAGGGAATCGTCGACTGTGAGAGATTATAGGAGAGGCAGCTACATCACAGTGTAAAGGGAACTCCAAAAACCAGATGTGTGGCCACAGCTCCTGGAAGAACCACACTGAAGTGTCTGATCTTAGGAACTTCCAACCATACGTTTATTTTTGTTGCTACTTCCTAACTGCAATTTTGATAGTGGGCAGTGTCTCAGTTCCTAAGAACATTGGAAGTACTTGTTTTCTGGTGGCCACAATCCACAGGAGGAGCTCTGCCAGTTTAGAAAGATGGTGAGGTACAACAACATGAATGAAATAGTTGGTAGAGTAAAATTTCCTCCTCTAAGCACGACATGACCACTGCTAGCTTGAAGTAAGAGTCAGTATGATCACAGGCAAGACAATCTCCAAAGATCACATGATTGATGTCCTGTTGTAGGATAGAGGACAGATCTCATCAGTTCCTTCTCCCAGAGTCCAGCCACCAATCTCCTGTTCCCAGGGTACATGGGCAGAGTGAGAGTCAGAAAAAAATGTAAAAATAAAATGTTGATGGAGTAGAGACTCAAGTGAAAGTGTCCCAATACTAACATGGCACTTTTCAATGACAGGGATCTCATTAAGTCACCCTTGTGACTTAATCTCATTAAGTATCCCACACCCATTCTCCTTCCAATAACCCCTCATAGTTCAGAAGCTACATTTGGCTGGATACATGCCTAGGGGCCTGCTGCTGTCCAATCTGAAGGAAGCAGGCATGTCTATGTATCTTCTGTGATCAAAGTCACACAACTGTTGTTCAAGTATGGATGAGATGCAGTTTCTTTACAGTCAAGAAGAGAAAATCACATGAGGGAGCTGATGATGGTTCCCTGAGGAGCTGGGAGCTTCAAGTTCAGAGTGACACATGACACTACAATGGGTTAGAAGCAACACCCACCACACATGACAAGGAGGACCCCAGGAGTGGAGGAGAATAAGGAGAGGCCACATTTGTTTTGCTCGATAGCGCCAAGTCTGGCATCATCCAGGATCTCCTCTCTCTGGGGTGGTATTTCAATTGATCTAGGTTGAAACCTCAGAAGTCAAAACTTGACATGTACCCCAGAGAACTGTGGGACATTATCAGGCCTCATTCTGGGCATGGTGGAAGGAAGGCCTGGTACCTAGACTAGCTTCAATGCAACCTAACACTGGAATACTCTATTTGAAAAGCCATCTCAAAAGTTCTGGCTCCTGCTATGAGGAGCCAGTGGGCATGACCTGTAACTGGGGTTTGCAAGCTCCTTTCTGAAATACAGAAAACATTCTGATATATAAACTTCAGAAGAATGTGTCTTAAGTCACAAATCCTGGAGGCAAGAGGCACCTCTTTTGAGAAGTTACATCCCTGCTCCTAACACCAACAATATAGTCCTAGAACATACATTTCTTTTAGGAATGGAACTGATCTCTGTTTCTTTAATGGAAAATTTCCACTGTTGATGTCCTCAACTGTGGTAGCATTGTGTGGTGACAATCTTCCTATGGCACCTGTGTCCTGCATTCCCATTTTAAATAATAACCATTTCATCTGTAGCTTGTAGATCATGTATTTTGGTGTGTTTATGATGTGTTGTTGGCTATAAGGAGTCTGTGTGTGGTCCCTGCAAAGTGTAGAGGACAAAGGAAAACTCACTTCCTTATCTTCCTTCCCAGGAATGTAACTAATGAACTCTATGTTTAATGTGGTCAATGAAGAAAGAGAACTGAACTGTTACTCCCTTTGGGTAAAACCCCAATGTGATTAGCAACGGCAGAAATGCCTGATCACTGAGTCAACAAACCAGGCTACGGAGTGAGTTTCTCCTCCCAGGCTCCTCTTAACCCTAAGTCACTGAGCCTGGCTGCATCTAACAGACCGAATGCTCCAATACCTTATATAGTGTTACCAGACGATACACATATGGTTGTTAAAGAGATAAATCATAAAAGCTATCAAAAGTACAATCAATCACACAATTGTGTGACGATGTTGACAGTTCCATTTTATTGATAAACAGTTTTCCTGGGACTACAGCACAAAAGGAAAGCATTGCATTTTCCTAAAAACAAAGGACT